GTAGTTATGTGTTTGGTTAAATAATGATATGAATGTGATTTTTGAAAGCTGTGGTTTTAAAGGTTAATTAGCACATTGAAGGCTCCCTACAACCAGCTAGTTTGTGCTTGCAAAGTGGTGATCAAAATTCAGGTAAGTAGAGTTAAAAGCATTTTAAAACTGCATCACAAGACCCTATATGATTATGTTCAAAGAGTATTCATGATTAATTATTTTAAAAGAGATTATGATTTATGCTTATTATGTTTTTATATTTTAAGAGATTTTATGGTATGGTATATGGATGAGAGGCTGGGTAAGCAGGGGTGCGAGGGACCGGTACCCCAAATTAGAGAAACTGTCTTTTTGAGACAACTAGAGAAAAATGCTAGTGAGAAGTTTCTTGTTGATCACAAGAGAAATAGATTCTAAAAACCCCGCTTAGTGTTTAAGAGAAGAGAATTGGCCAAAACTAGAGAAGGTCCTGTATAGAGAGGCTTACTTGGAACCGAAGTTCTGTATCATACCTAAACTAAGAATAAGTATGAAAGTTTATGAACAATGATTAACAAAGAGATTTTAGCCACAGAGATTTTAGATACTTACTTTATTTGAAATCTACTTACTGAGTTCTTGCTCATTAGTTTTACCTTGTGATGCAGATGATGTTGTTACGGAAGAGTAAAAAAAGAAAAATGATTTTCAAAGTTGGCTGAGTACTCCAAGTCTTACATCTGACATCTTGCTTATATGTACTTCCAAACAATAGATGGGCTCAAAATGTTTTGTTTTGTTACTATGTCGCTTTTGAATAACTATTTAACGTTTAAGATTTGTGGTTGCGCACTTACTCATTTTGTTCAAAAACTTTTAGGATAAATTTTGTGATGAAATCAACTACAAGTTTTCGCATTTTAAAAATGACATTGTTTTAAGTATAGAAAGTATGTTTTAAGTAGCATCACCTCGCTAAATTCGGCCTTAGACCGGTTTAGCGTATGGGGGTGTTACAAATACAATATCAAATTAGTGTGCTAATACCAAATTTTAACATTTGAGTAGTAAAAATATATTTTTATTGAATGCTATATTTTGTGTTAAATTTTACTTATGCTATATTTGATGCAAATTTTGCTCCAAGTATATCAAATGTTAGATTTTGAAATTTAATTGTTATTGATTTTGATGCCTTAGCCTGTCATATTTAACTTAGAATTTATATTATATGAAATATAAATTTTTGTATTTGTATGAATTAACTGCCGTTTTAGCAGTTTGATTAACTTTTTAAGGCTTAATTTATGATTATGTATGGCACACTACAAATTTTTTAACGTAGACACTCAAATATAATACCTTTAAAAACTAAATTAAACGGCTAAAGTAACCGTTCTTACTAGTAGGGAAA